CAGGGGGGGGGGAAGTTGTCTGTGTGTAAGCAAGAAAGCTTTCAGCAAAAGGAGATTTTGCAACTGTATCTTACAGTGGTCAGTTGTAACTGTTGCAACAGCCTCAGCTGGCCTGGTTTCTTGGGATTTGGGAAACAAATATTAACACCTTCAATATTTGCTTTCATGTTAACAGAATACTCCACCTCCTTTCCAAAGCCACTGCCATTTTAGCAGTCTGCCTCTGTCTGGGAAGTTATGCAAGCAGAACTGGCATATTGATCAAACAACGTGCATCTCCTGCATTTGTGCCGAGACAGAGACTACGGAGTCTCTGCCCTATTTACCTCTGTAATATATTTTGTGTAAATTCCTATTTACTCCTGTAAGCATTCAATCTGGCACCGGCAACAACCCGAAATACAACTACAGCGTTGCAACACCCAGCAGACAAAGAGGGCTTGGACCAGACGTGGGACAGGAAGCTGTGTTCAGCCCTGGATTTCCATCTTGAATTAAGGTAGGTTTAGCACACATTCACAGCAGCGGTTTGGAATGCCATACACAGCACAACTCCACCGGCGAGACACAAGGACTGTCTAGGCAACTAATAGAAAGCTTTTCCCACCCCCAGGAAAAAGCTGGCATAGAAAAAACTTCCAGGAGTTAATCAAGCTATTCAACATTATCCGCATGTCATTCCCGTTTCTTCTCTTTGCAAGGGAAGCTTCAGTGTAAAAATCTAACAGCCTTGCGCAACTGTACTGTTTGCACAATGAGCCCAAAAGAGCCTAGAGTTTAACTTTGGTCTTAAGCTGAAGCAAGTGTAGTACTGACCAATAAAACAAGATGCTTATTTTGTGCTTTCAGGAGTCTTCAGGAGAAGAGAATGTATTTCTCCCCACATACACTCCATTTTCACTCATGTGATGCATCTCACAGTAAAACTTAGAACTAATTTGCCCTTTTGCTGGTTCTATTACATGCACTTCCCAGACTTTAAAAAATATTTTAGGGTTAGAATGATTGTAAGAACAGCATCTACCAAGAGAAAAATGGTAAAGACATGATTCATAAAAGTCACAGGAGATCTGAATTTTAATTTTAGCTCTGTCCTGGAATTGCTGAGGGACAACTGAGAGATAATTCAACTTCAAAGCATTTTCACTTCCCCTTTGCAAAATACGCTTTCAGTAGCATGAAGGACCCTATGGTCACTTCTGCTTACAACGCCTCTTGAGAGCCTCAAAATAGATGCCCTGCACAGAGGGTTCATTATTTTCATCCTCATTCAATATTCCGTTCTCTCAGACACCACACCCTTATCATAGTTTTCACTGCAAATATATTTACATAACATAATAAACACCTCCCAAGGGGCACTAGAACAAGACAGGAAAAATAATCTCAAGCTGTTTAATGACTTTAAATTTGTGATTGTTTTGCGTGCATCTGCCTTGGCAATGACTGCGAGTATCCGGGCAGTGGAATGCCGCCCATCAGCATGACTGCTTGGGGCTGTGGGAAGAGGCAGGTTATGACGGCATGAGGAAGGGGACCGCAAAAGAATGCTAAAGCATCATCTCATACCAGGCAGTGATTTTGAATTGGTGATTTAAGCCTAATTTGATGAAGGATGTCAGCTTGTCACTAATTACTATTAGACATCTAACTGCACAGAATGAGAACAAGTTAAACAGACTAAACCCCTTTTTGTCTGGTTTGAAAACTGTTTCCTCCAATATTGCCCCCCCCCCCCCCCCAAGCACCGATGATTTGCTTCCTGCCAAAAAAAAAAAACCCAACAAACCACAAACAAACCAAAAACCAAAACAAACCCAAAGCCTACTGTCTTCAGTTCCTCAATAGTATGCACTATGGACAACTTTACAGACAATTCCTCTTCTGTGGCATCTCATTTCACCAAAAGTTGCAATAAAAACAAAAAAACAACTATCAAACATGCCGCTAATATCTCTGCAATTGTAATCTTCCCTTTTTGAAATGGCAGTGAAGATCACTCCATCTGTTCCCTCATCATATACATGATTCCATTGCCTAACGCACAGAATTGGATTTATAACGTCCAGCAGGAGACTACAAAAGAAATTAAAGTACCACAGGAATTTTTGCCACTTCATGTCACCTCTTTGGAACTGCATGCTGCTGCTTCACGTGTTACAAAAACCAGGAGGGAATAGCTTAGATGACAGATCCGTGATTATGCACCTTCAAAACACTGGTCTGGTGAAGGTTTAAAGTAGCCACATATAGCGACTAATATGTGGATGCTTGAATAGTTAAAAGTCAAAGCCTCATTCCTGTAGAAACTGGTTTATGGAATTTCTTTACCCAAGGAGTTTAAAAAGCAAGGTATCCCATGAATGCCTTTTTGATTTGTGTTCAAGGCCATTGTGTCACCCCTCACAATATGCTTAGCTCCTGCTTAGGCACTCCGCGATTTCCAGCCCTCCCAAGAATAATAATTCTCATCTCCCCCTTATAATGCCTTCTACCCACCACCATCACCTTATGTGGCTGAACTTATCTATATGTGGGTTGAATTGCCCAGCTGCTGCCTTCCAGTATAGGCCCTGTAACCACTGTTGGTGTGTACCATGCTACAGTGGGGGAGCAGGAGTTTGAGTCTCTGCAACAATTCATTCTCACATCAAGGGTGGCTATAACAGGCCAGGGCGGCAACAGGTTTCATTTTTGGAAAGGGGTGGGGAGAGGAAGAACTGCGAAACAGCCTGTAATTCAAATAAGAAACCAGCTCTTTTCACCATTAAAGTGATGAAACCTGCACAGAGAGAGAGTGCTATTGTCAGAGAAATAGGTTACTGCTCTCCCGGGGGACTGTATGACAAATTTAGTATGTTTTCCCCAGAAGCAGAGTCCTGCTTATTTCACTCACTGTACCTGTGCAAAACCCAACCAACTTGCCCTGGAATCCTACCATTGCTGCTGGTCACAGCAGAATAGATTTGTTTCTTAAAATTGCCTGGTCTCCTCCTCTGCCTCCAGCAAAAAAGCGCTTAACATTTATAAATGTGCGAAGTTCTCAGAAGCCTCCCCAAAGGGAAAGGAACAAACTGTTCTTCCCTCCCCAAGATAAAAGCTTTAATTGTGTTGTACTGTATTTCCTTCTACAATGAAACCTGGGGGTTTTTTTAATTTATAATTTAAAAATAAAGTATTACGCGTCTCCATGGACTCAGGTTAAGGTGTAGAGGGGTTCGTTGAATATTAGGGGACGTTAATGACACATACACCCTCCTGAAACTAAACCAAGAAGTGGAACAAGAAAATGGGCTTTATTTCACTCAAGCTGATACTACTTATGCTTTGTAAGCTGGCTTGTGGCTTGCAGATCATTTTTGCTGCTATGTACCAAAGGGAGCCCACCTTCTTAACAAGACAGAGTTCAAAATTACTGTAGTTTCTCTGAAGTACCTTTTTTTTGGTGTCCTTAACTAAGTCTTTTTCTGCAAAAAGATTTTTAAAAAATGGCCTTAGAGACAAGTGGAAAATAGCAACCATTTCCCTGTCCTTCACAGCAAAGCAGTGTACTTATTTTCTAGTACTCCACAGTCCTGTAAACACTACAACAGGTGCCAGGAAGGGAGAGGGAAGAGAAAGGAGGGTGAGTTATACTGAAGACTGATTTCATTCACATGCTCATTGAAATTAGGAGCTGAGGGGGAGGTGGTGCAAATCTCTCTTAAGGGTAAAGGTTGTCATTAATAAAAACCCAGCTAAGATCATCAAATTATCCTTTAGGTAACATAATGCAGCAAGCAGCATACATGCAGGAATGAATGGCAAATAAGGGGGAAGTGAATACTGCCTCTTTTAGTGGTATTTGCAGCTTCAAGGTCACCATGAAACAAGGTCCTACGAGTCTTGAGCAGACAAAAATTTAAGACATAAAAAGGAGCACAAAAATTATGTCATTAGTTCAAAGTTGGAACCTAGAATTCAGATAGCTCTCAAGACAAATACAATACTATCATTAAGCCACTCTTTCTTCTTCTTACTTCACAAACACATGGGCGAGGAAACTCCAGCTTGGTAACTAGCAAAACCAGAATAAAATTCTCAGTTACCTGTAACAGAGGTGGGGTGATTTTCCATCTCATTCCAGAGGATCTTGTTTTTATGGAATTTTTAATTCAGGCAAAGACCAAAATAAAGCTATCTCATAGCTTCTCACAAAGCTTAACAAATGCACACAAAACAACCAAAAAAATGCAAGAGGAAAAAGACATTTATCATAAATGTGGACATTTGGATACAGCTGGAACTACTCTAGAAACTCCAGAGAAGACAGAAGAAGATATAAGGGAGAAGAAAACTACAATATTTATTAATGGCATCACCCACAGATTTCACACTGCTTGGAAGCTCTTCAAAGATGGCGGCATACACATATCACAGAAATGGAAGCACAGAGTCTCATCGCCTTCTCCTGCAGAGCAGGATGAGTCACTTAGTACAGCCAGAAACACAATTCAATTTTAAAACTTCTAAAATAAGTTCTGTGCCATTCACCACAAACAACAGATTAGCCGTATTACTTGATAAACCAAACGAAAAAAGAAGTGGCAAAAGCACAGCTGGATCTCTAGGTCCCAGTACCTAGTAAAAACCATCATAAGAGCATCTTTCTTTCTTCCACACCCTTTAAAGTTCCTCCACACCATAGCTCTTCCCTTTTCCCTGAACCATGGATCTCATTGAATTCTCTGCTGCCTCCAACTCCGTTGAACCCAGACATGGAAGCAGAACAAAGGAAAACAATAACTCCTCTGTAATTGCATCCCATCTACATCTTTGTTTCTTACCCGTAAGTTAGACATGACTGTACCTCCTCACCTGTAAGTTAGACATGATTGTCCCTCCCCTCCCTAAGCCCACAATCCTGTCCAGCTTTGGGAAGTATGGGTCACAGGAAACTACCAGCGACGTAACCATGATAAGCTTATGTCAATTTAAGTCTGTGCTGCAACTGAACAGGGCGATCCTGCTTTCCACACATCCCTGCCCCTTTCCTTGGGCTTTCATCAGTACCAGTGCCTCTGGAGTACTCATCCCCATCAGATCACCGCTTCAGCTGACCTCACGAGTACCTGCTCCAGCAGAAAGGGGAGTCTCGGGCAGGATCCTCCCATTCACCTGTATAAATTTAGATTAACGTGTCAGCTCAGGAAGTTACATTTCCAGAGCACAGTTTCAAACTAAACTTAAGGCAGTATAAAGGCTGCTACCAGAGGAGTTTGTCCCAGTTCCTTTATTCTCCCCTGTTCTGCCTTTGGGACAACCGATCACAAGTCCATAGGGTGAATATGGTAAAGCAAGTAACCTGCCACAGAAGAATGGCTTCCCATCAGGTAAGTCCACTGATCCAGTTCAACCTTTTGGCAGAGTATAGCTAGATATGAGTTAGGGAAGAAGGAAGGGAACAGAACCAACTTGTTCTGGCAACAGCCCACAGTTACACTAAATTAGATGTAACACAAAGTCACAGTCAGTGACTGGCAGAATCAAGATTTGAACTGTCGTTCCAGGTACCTCTACTACAGCATATCAAAGGTTTAAAACCTGTATTCATCAAAGTCAGTCTACAAAAAGGTAATGTCTACTCTACACACCATTAACACAGAGTCATGTTCTTTATCTAAAAGGAAAATATAGAAACAGATTTTTTTTAAAAAAAAAACAAAAACACGCACTGATACCTGAGCACCCACTAGTTGCAGCAAGGCTGAGTTCACAGGAAGGAGTTCAATGTCTGTATTGATAGTGGTCTGGTCAAAAGGGCATGCCTTACGGTGGAGCTTGTTGAGGCACATCTTGCAGACAGTGTGGCCGCAACCCAAGCTGATGGGCTTTCGGATTGTTTCGTCGAAAGTCTGTGTGCAAATTGGGCAGGAGAGAAAATCCGTCCATTGTGGAGCTTGTACAGGCATTGCTTCAGGAGTTAATTGACAAGACAAAAATCTAAAGCACAGATTCCACTGGAATCAAAATCTTTGAAAAAAAGTCTGTTTGTTTTTAAATATCTTCTGTAAGTACAGACAGTCAGCACATAGTGTGAAACATAACCTAAAAGAAAACAGAAACAGAAAGTTAGCATTCTCTTCTGGAACAGGCATGTGAAATTCTTTGCGCTAAGTAAATACCACTTGTAGAGGTATAGCTAAACTAGGAGTGTAATTCTGACATTAAATAGAAGACTGAGTCATGACTTGCTTTAATTCCAGCTGGTCTCTGGCACTGGAAAAGCCACTTAAAACCATTTCTGCTGTTATGCGGCTTAAAAAAAAAAAAATCAAGATAGTTATCTATCTCATTGAAGTTATAAGACTAATCAGCTTTTAGCTTTTATGTTCTCTTTTTTCTTTACAAATGAGCCAATTAACATCAACTAGACTTGAATAAAAAAGACAATTTTTGAAGGGCTGTTGTGCTTATTCCACTAAACCAATTTTTTACATTATTTACTGTGAGCTTTAAATAATTTTGCTTAGACAAGGTTTCATCCAAAACCTCTTATCACAAGCAAGCTTTCTTCCCAGTTCAGTGGGCTCTGAATTGGCACACAATGACTCCGCAGAAACACCTGAGCTGCCATAGCCTCAAGAAGAAATGGATGAATGGCTCAGGGTACAGATACAGTCTGTGTGCAATACAGCTCACGCGCATTGCCAGGTAATACCACGTACTGCTACTACGGCACCTTCACACAAGCCGATCTGTACAGAGCTGCACAGTACCACAGGGACTTATCCAGTCACATTTCAGTTACCCAGGGAACCTCCATGCATTACTGGGGATAATTCAGCACTGATAACTTGTCCTCAGTCTGTCCATCAAGCAGCTCCATCCTTCGAAAGCAGGAAGGAAATTTCTAGAAGTCATTTTGGACTGGAGGAGTGACAACTGTTTCCTCAAGGACCCTTTTCTAACCCCGACTGATATAATTCACTGCCTACCTAGACATTACATTGACAGAGAAAGGAACATCTTTAATGCACTGAGAAATTACACTGAAACACTACAATAGAGGAGAACCTGGGAGGTCTTTATTACTTGGCACTTTTGAATCAAAATGCTAAGAGGATCAAATGTTACTAATTATAAGGGAATGGAAGATAAGACATCCCTTTGGGACAAAAAAAAGAAAAAAAAAAGAGGCAGAACTCCGCATGTGAGGAGAGATATAAAAGAGTAGACAGATGAAGTGATATGAAAAGAATCATTATCAAAAGGAAAATTAGTAATAAAAAAAATTCTGATGCCTGGCTTACTTTCTGTCACCAGAGAAGTTGACAAAAACACAGTGCAGGTCACAAAGATTTACTACCAAACTGATTTTTCTAAATTGAGCAGCAAAACAACAACAATAACCCACTCCAACCACCCAGATGTGTTAGTTTCTCTCTCCCACACACCACTGGCTTAGCTTTCACACTAAGGCAAGGCGTGTGCACTTGCTTGCTAATACAGATACAGAGTTCTTATATAAGCAAACCAGTAATCTCTTATCAAATCTGAGCTTGTACGTTGTCCTTTTGAAGATAGAAGTAATTTTTTTTTTTTTCACTAGCTTTAGAACTAAGCTTTAATGTTTCCTTGATGAAACATGGCTAAAAGCCTAACTAGTAACTCTGCATTGTTTGCCTTGGCAAAATGATGTTAACAGTGACTTTCACACTAAGACAAGGCGTGTGCACTTGCTTGCTAATACAGATACAAAGTTCTTATACAAGCAAACCAGTAATCTCTTATCAAATCTTAGCTTAGAAAACAACCTCAAAATTAGAATTAAAATCTCAATTCTAAGTAAAGGCAAAAGAGAGAAACTTCAAGTTAGGAATTGTGCAATTCGGAGCCAAAATATTTCAAAACAGCAGCAAAAATCAAATGCTAAAACAGAGACTCTGAAAAGCCTCAGGCTTTTGTTCCAGAATTTAGTGCAACATTGTTCACTGTTAACATCATTTTGCCAAGGCAAACAATGCAGAGTTACTAGTTAGGCTTTTAGCCATGTTTCATCAAGGAAACATTAAAACTTAGTTCTAAAGCTAGTGAAAAAAAAAAAATTACTTCTATCTTCAAAAAGACAACGTACAATGCCACACAGTCACTGTTTACCAGCCGACAAGAAAGTGGTAAGAAATCCATACCACCCAGACAGGGTGGTGCTGAGGCAAAGGCCCTGCCTGGGGTTAACCCTAACACCACCGCTGCACAACGAGAAGATCTGCCAACGTTGTTCAGGGTTCCTCCCCACCCCAATTACCTCTTTAATAGCAAATCAATAATTTTTTTCATCTTGTTAGCAAATAGTCAAATCATTCCCATTACTACTGTACCATCACGACCCAAATGAAAACATTTATACTTGTAAGTTACTTGACTGAGCTAACTTCTTAAAACATCCAGGAAATTTATTTCCAAGCCTTGCCCCCCCTCCCTGCCCCCTTTACATATTTTGAAGTAAACCTTTATTTCAAGTATTCCAGCTAGAATCACTGTTTGCAAACCAAATCTGTAATCAAAATTATGTTGAAACCCCACAAAAATCCTTCCACAAAGAGCAGTACACAGCTTGATAAATCTAGTGTACGTATTGCTGTGCTATGAAATACCATTTGAGGTTCAAAATTTAAAAGCTGAATCATATTGCTTCCTTTCTACCACACTAGTATTAAAATATCTACCAACAGTTTGCCAGACTCATCTGCAATTCAGAAACAATTTGAACAGTCTATTTGAAACACCGATTATTAGCCAAGTGTTAAGGAAAAGAGTAGTTTCTTACTAACTGAGGAAATCTAAAACCAGAAGCTAACATGAAGCCACACCATCACCACCAGAAAGTAGATTCGGACATGAAAACTCCACCATCCCGGGCTCTGAACTGGAAAAAAGGAGCCGAACACAACTTGAGTTAACTAATTAAAAAAAAAACGAACAAAACACAAACAACAGAGACATGTTATTCCTACCTGTACCTCTGGCCACTCCTGACAACTGGCATCATGAAAAAGGTCATATTTATTTATGCTCTCAACAGTTGAAAGAAAATTTGGAGAGTCTGGGGAGGGAGGGAGGGAATAACCAGCAGCATCTCTGATCCCTTATCTAGGCAGATCTCAAGACGCTGGAGAACAGAAGCAAAAAATCTTATACACTAGCACAACTTTTCGAGGGGTCTTAATGAGCCCAAGCCTGGCACAGACCCGCCAGAACAGAAAAAGCACACCACATGCGAACAGAAAACCCACAGCCCTGACTGTGGATATGCAATCACTAGAGGCAGGTTCCACCAGTGGGTGACAGTTCCCCCTTACCCCCGACGGGCTTCTCTCCTACCTCTTATCCCACCAGACTCTGCAGCGCCTGCGGACACATACTGGAGCCTAAATGCCAGAGGAAGGCCACAGATAGCACTGAGAATAGAAAATACGGCTGCGAGAAACCTCAGGAAATCATCTATTTCAGCACAGCCTAACTGCTGGAACAGATGGCTAACTAGCTTGATCCAGCCAACCTCTTCCCCACAGGGGAAAAGAATAGCTGTTTGAGCAACAAACCCTGCTCTGCTAATAAATCTCCCAAGCAGATCAGCACAGAACTGTGGAATTCCTCCAGTCCCACGTAAGACAGGAACGGCATCACAGGAACTGACAGTTCACGGGCTGCATGCAAACAGGTCGGCACCAAACCAAGTACCACCGCTGCTGCCACAGCTTTCCACAGATATGGTCCAGCTTTCCTCCTGGATCTTCAATTTTCAGACAAGGAAGCAGAGCCAAGCGCTGAGATACCACATACATCTGTCCCAGGCACAAAGCGTACAGATGGGGCATACACGTTAAGAAGCGAAGCTGGGAAAGATGCGTGCCTTTTTGCAAGGTTTGTGACTTGCTACGACCTTGGAAACTACTGGAAACAAAGTATCCTCTAACTTGAAAGAGCTACTTTAAACAGGAGAGATTACAAACAGCAATGAAATTATGGAAACAAGACGGTTTCATCATCACAGACAGCTACTGGAACCATCATCACTACAGAAAGAGAACACTTCCTTGTACAGATAAGGTAGGAAAAGCATATTCACACTTTCATGGTACACTTTTTTTAAAAAAAATGTTTCTCTCTAGCATTATGCCAAGGATGACCAAAATACAAAGAATGCAAACATTTATAGGAGACATACCCATGTAAATAAAATCCCCCTCCCCATAATATTATGACATTAACTCACCCTCTCAGTTTCCTAAGTATTTCACACCTGTTAGCGTCCAACAGTTTAAATAAACACACACACTTCTTTGTGCATAAATGAGGAAAATAAAGGTACACCAAAACCCAAGAAAACAAAAAACTAAAAAGACACATCCACAGTACATAAACTGGAAGACAAAAAGCTGTAATTAAGAATGAAGATGCCCAAGACATAGGCCTCAAATATATATCGGGATCAGAGACAGATTTGCTTTGTTATTTCTGAGACTGAAAATATAAAATACCTGTATGCAAGTCTCCTCCTCCTGCTTAGCCTTGCATAAGCTGTTTTAATCCACAGCTAGACCACCCAAAAACATTTTTTTTTTTCCTCTCCTGGGTCCTCCCCCACTCCCCAAAAAATCCTTGCAATTCCATCCTTCAACCCAGACTGGAACTGTCATGCTGTAATCAGATCAGCAAGACCCGGCCAGTGCTTCAGAGAAAGAGAGGATCATTCTATAAACCACCGGGACAACCGCTCACCGCTTTATCACATGCCTTACTCTGCTGGACTGCGATGCAGAAGGGTAATGCAGTCTCCTGTCCAAGCTGCATTACGTCCGTGATGGTCAGAGCCTTCTACATGTAGCTAGAAAGATTTGCAGATCCAACCCTCGAGAATAAGACTTTTTTAAAATGCAGAACACTTTGTACCAATATCCACCGGCAT